AAGAGCTGGCACATGCCCTGGACTCCACCTCCCACCCAAAGCCCTCTGACTCACTATGTTGCTGTGGTGAGCTTTAGTCATGAGCAGCATGCGGCCAACAAGGTCAGTGGTGGACACACCTTGGGTACGTTTGCATTCCCTGCAAGAGACAAGCAAAGGATGAAGCAGAAGCCGTGGGATAGTGTATGCCTCTGTCTTCCCAGCATTACCACAGGAACACCTGTGACACTTGATAAATCCAAACCAGGGGCTGTCCTGAGAAAGCCTTCTTTCTCCCTACTCCTAGTATCAAGTATAGCATTCATTTGCTGAGCCTCTGCATCCCTCTCACGCCATGGCAACTGCTCACAAGAGGAACACTTCCCTTGGCCAGACTTCCCAACAGAGCCAATTCCTGGTGAAGCTCCAAAACCAGAACCAGCATCTGCCAGGAACTGGACGGTCCCCTCGGGCAGGGCTGTCTGCCCCACTTCCCTGAAGCCAAAATGCTCAGAGCAACTGAAGCTCTGACACACGTATAGATAAGTTCAGGTGTGACCTGAAGACAGCTGTGTTTCATCTGACTTCCCTCCAGGGCATGAAATCCCAGAAACTGCCCAAACCAGGATAAGAAGGTAAGCAGCAATAGGTTACCTGTATCGCCCTGACGTCTTCACTTCCTCATAGGTGTCCTTGCCATCAATAGTTAAGGTGATGTCATCTACAGAGAGAGAAAAGCCACAGAACTGTGCCCCAAGCCCTCCTGCACAAAAGCAGCAGCTGAGCAGGTCCCACATGTGAGCCAGACCAGAGCTCTGCAATCCAAATCCCTGCGTATACACGAGGGACACGTCCCGTGCCCCACAGAAATGCAGGGCTTTGTAAGACTACTGTGTCTGTGGAGACAAGGATATTCCTGGATGTTAAATGCCATTACCCATCTGGCCCACTGCTTTTTAGAGAGTCCAGAAAAGCTGAGCCGGGTGCCCTCGCACTGATCCAGCAGCAGGTACAGTTGATTTTTATTTGAATGACATTAAACAGGCACCATCCACCTTGGTGCTAAAAAGCACCTTTCAGCTCCTCTAGGACTAGTTTTAGCCGTTAGTTCATGTTACAAGTTTTCAGTCAATGGAACAGTCATCCAACAGAAAATTCTACTCCTCAATGATGGCATTTCCAGTGACATCCAGTGACTCTTCCACAGAAGTAATTCTGTTTCATCTCTGGCACATGGCTCCCAACTTCCTCTGCAGAAACACCTCTCACCTACTTTGATGATGGTACAAAACCTTCCCAAATGAATGCTAAGCTGGCTTCCCTTTGCCAAAACAGCTGGAAGGCAGAGCAGGCACTGGCAGCCCACAAGTGCTCCCACACAGTCAGGTGGCTCAGTCCTGCTCAGTTCTCCTAAAACCCCACACCCTCTCCTCGGGGCACAGAGACGGGAGGGAACACACTGCCAGCACAGGTCAGAGTGCCAGGAGAGAAGCACAAACAGTGGGGTTGCTGTCACTATCCCAGGTAAGCTCAGCTATTTCCAAACTCAGCTTTTACACAAACACAACTGGTAAAACTGCAGGAGCAAGGGTATTGGTCAGGGAGAAATATGGAATGATTTGGCAGAGGGGACAAATAAGGGCAGCTGGAGTAGAGACCATGAGCACTCCACTACTGCCACAACCCCTCACCAAGCCCTGTAAGGGGTCACGTACACCAGACACGTTCAGGGCAGGCAATTAAGTTAATGAGGAATTTTATAACCACCCTGCCCATGTGAAAAAGCATATCTATATTGTAAAGATTAAGGATTGATTTACATTTAATGAAACATTTAGCTTATCGATAGCAGGTGGCTAGGATCAGATGAGAGATATACAAAATGAGTCAAAGTACTCCTGGCCAAAGTAACAAAATTCCTTCAGAAGGACAAGGAGGAGGGGCTGAGGCTGAATGAGCGTCAGCAGCAGCACAGGAAGGGACAGAGTCCCACAGCAAGAATGTTTCCTCAGAACACTGGTTGTCTCCAGCAACTGTACACCAAAAAGTGTTCACAGTAAGAACTAGGTCTCTGGCCACACAGTCAGCTAAGCCCCTGAACAGCTTATTAGCCGGATAAAGAGAGAAGCTTTTCAAATCTGATCTCATCCCAGGATAAGTAGATATAAACATCATTGTATTTCTGCACGCTTACCTTTTCAAGTGTTTTTCACATTTAAGTTCTGTAAATGGCTTTCCCCATTTACACAAATTTCTGCTGCTGCTAAGGGCAACCTCAGGATAATTGTCAAACAACACATTTCACCTTGGTAAGTGAAAGGGCTGGTTAAAAGCAAGGGCTCTGGCCACTTTCAAGATGCTGAGCACACCGACACGTTTCTCCGGATCACCAGACCAGAAGCAGCTGTGCTGCCCAGTGCAGGTGTTGGGAAAGCAGAGCTCTGCACACTCCAGGTACCCCTGACCCACAATGCAGGTGTTGGGAAAGCAGAGCTCCATCTTTAGAGGCAGTGTGAGCTGAGAGCTCCCACTCCAGGTACCCCCGACCCCCAGCACCGGCCGGGATGTCGCCTGGTTCGCAGCAGGGCACCCTGGACACACGGCCCCCGAGGGCCCACGGCAGCACAGCCCCTGCCTCGAACACCACTCACCCCCATGCACACAGAAGTCACAGCTGTATTTGTCCAGGGTTTCCAGCGTGGTGACATAGGGAGCTCCGGGAGCAATCTCATCCACCCACTTGATGGCTTGCACCATTTTGTACCTTTCCTCCTGCGTAAAGACGGGGGGGCCCTTGTGCTTGGCAATCTCCTCTGGGGGAGAAACAAAAATCTAGTTAAAATCCAGTTAGAAGCACGTCCTGCAGCTACAGAGACCCTCAGCCACAGCAGCCTCATTCATTCCACGGGCAAGTGAACTTCACTGCAGGCTTATCCTCAGCTTTGGATCGGTCTCTGGTGACAAAGGAAGCCCCAGATAGATCAGAAAAGACTTTAATTTAGTTGCATTTCCTAAACATGTAACAAGGGCCCTGGAATTTACTTGAAAGGCAAAAGTCTTAGTGCTTCCTCTTGGGGAGATGAGCTGGGCATCCCGGCATCCCTCCAGGAGAAATTACCCTCTTAAACAGTAGCTTCAGACAACACTTAGTTCATGCTAGAAATTCTGCATCTATAAACCCATTTAAAATACATCTTCACATGCAAGAACTTGTTCCCATCACTTAAATTCCAGATGGGTTTTAAATGAGTTTTCTCCACACAGCAGCTTCTTTTGGAACATCAGTTTTTCAGCTAATACGAGCCAAACCAGACTGATTTTCAACTGGTTTAATTGTTTTTACAGCATGCAATGCAGATGACCCCTCAGAACCTGCAAGCTCTGACCTACCTAACCCTCACTCTGAAAGCATAACAGGGGTTACACTACTCCCTCACCCAGGGAAGGGACATTTTTCTCCTGGACACTGTTGCTCCTGGAACAGATGCAGGAAGAAAGGTGACCATATCAGGAGCTCTCGGTTCTCTCAGGGCTAACGCTGCTGGGTGATTTGAGGGGCTGCACGGGGTGAAACCTGGGAAAGTCTCTTACCATCTGTATGGACCCCAACGATCAGGTAATCGCCCATGGCCCGTGCCTGGCGCAGCTGGTTCGAGTGGCCATAGTGCACCATGTCATAGCTGGAACGAGAAGGGCCGGGTCAGCCCGGGCACACCGGGACGCACCTCGATGGGA